GAGAAATGCCTGCGTAGCAGTTATTCTGATCTGCTAGAGCAGCCTGTGTTCCCATGTATGTACAGTGAGAGAGGTGAAAAAGGGAAGTTAGTGGGTACTGTCACTCCTCCATAGTCTTTCCCTGTTCTTTTTAAAAGATGTGGTTGACTTTAAGGGCTATTTTAATACAATCCTTACCAAAATAAATCAGACTTTAATTTATCAGCTCTTATATATCCAACATTCACGCAGTGTTCAGTTAAGAAAGGTAGGCCAACTAATATGGTTACAAAATAATAACCAGCTTAGTAGAGATGGTTAGGTTTTTTTCTCAATCAGTATCTGCTCTACTTGTGTGTGCCCCCACACGCCCTGACTCCCAAATCACAGTCATGACAGGTTTTGGTGGATTTTTCATATCATAGTTGGAGTCCACCACTATCTAGCTTCAATTGGCACACATAGGGAATTTCAAGATGCCTTATAACGAAAAGAGAAGCATCTCCAAATCTCATCTGTTAAATGGAAGCCTAAACCACATGCAGTTTTAATAAAGAAATAGTATGAGTTGCCAACCTGTGGTTTACAGACAGCTCAAATGCAGTTCCTGTGTCCCATCATTAGTTGCAGGGCTGTTGATTCAGGGATTGCTGGGTAAACGGAATCTCCAGCTGCAAGAAGCAGCAGCCCAAAGGTACAACTGATGTGAACATGGCTGGGACACTCAGAATCAAAATATATGCCCAGCCTGTCCTGCAAGGAAGTAACATGGCCACTTAGGAGCTGTTACCGTCTTCCATGAGACGTCTACTCCAGTAACTCCTTTTTCTTTCAGCTCCTGAGTTGTGATACGTGTTTTGGGCTCTAGTCACTTCAAAAATCTGACTTGCAGCTCATGGGGTCAGATAAACTGGACACATCTCAAACAGCAATCAGAAAATTGGAAAGCCACTGCCTTTGTTTTCAAACTTTTCTGCTGATGGATTGTTGCTCTTACCCATCTAGCATCGCATTAGACACAATTTCAAACTAATTCTTTTTCTTTAAAGTGCATAAACAAATGCATTGAGAAAAAAACTAAAAATAAATAAAAATATTTATTTTCTGCAGAATTTGCATGTCAAACAAAATTGTCCTACAGGATAGTTTGAGATGCGTGTTCCACAGTGTTTCTAAATTGACGTTTAAAATGCAAAGAAATAACTTCGTAATTCAAGACAGATTTCCAGAGGGGACTGAGGAAGGTGAAATCCCCAGAGCTGCATGACCTGACGCAGCCTGCTTTCTAGGGCATGCTCCAAGGAGTGGCCATGCTGACATACAGCTCCTCCGTCAGTCCCATGTGGCTGCATCTGACCCTGCTTTGTGGCTATAATTAGAAATAGACTGCAGCTGAGCCATATTCACTTCTGATAGATCATGTTTGCATTTAATCCTGCTGCAAACTTGCATTAGTGGAATGTAAAATTACTTCTTTAAGCAGCCATGTATAGCATAAAAGTATAGCGTAGGCATCCTCTATGTATATTATTGCAGCTTTCACTGTTCTTAATAGGTGTAGATAATAGTCTGGGGGTTTTGTTTTGTTTTGTTTTAAAGTAAGAGTTTTTACCTTGCCACTGTCAGTCTTCAGATTGTCTCTAAGGTGCTTCATTTGTTTCTTGTAGATGAGATCACTGCCAGCTTTCGTAGGTTTGGACCTCTTGTGGTGGACTGGCCTCACAAAGCTGAAAGCAAGTCATATTTTCCACCTAAAGGTAAACAGTTTAAAATACATTTATGCAGGCTGTTCTGCTAGAAGAAAACCACATCTGCAATGTGGCAATCCATTACAAAGAAAAGATTTGACTCTTTATGATGAATTTTCCTTCTTTCAACAAGCATATTTTCAGCAGTTGTCCTGACGGAAAAAGCACGATTGAGTGACTGAAATGTGGTCCTGTGTGTGTACTTCTTCAGCAAGCCTGGAGTCCTTGAATCATGCCTTAGTTTATACTAGGCTTACTTTAGAAGGCAAGTTGCAGAAATTTCCTAGTGCTGATTCTGATGCAGTTTGCATCTTGTAGAAACTACAGAAATATTAGCTGGAAATCACTGGTAGATTGGGTATGCAATATTTTGTAGAGAAGCATGAGTCCCCTTTGTGTGTTCGTGCCTCAGCAGCTGTGATCCTGCTCAGAACCACAAGATCTGCATCGGGGTGTGCTGGGTGCTGACTGCAGCACTGACCTCTGCTAAGAGAGGGCAGGCTGGCATCACGCACCACGGTCACAGAGTTTCTAGGCTGGAACCGACCTGGTTCAGGGTGGTTTAGAGTGTGTGTGGGTGGGGCATTTTCAGCAAAATGCTATGCAGACCTGTTTTGGTTGAGAAAGACCAGTTTCTGGGAAACCTGTTTGGGAGAGTTACTTGGCTAAATCTGATTGCTCTTACTGTATCCGTGTCTCTCCTGTGAGTTGGTATTACGCTATATATGCTCTGTTCTCAGTCATGTGTGCCTCTTGCATATAGTTAGGTGAATTTTCTGTTCTCACTGAACCTGAAAGCTCTTAATTGCTCATTAAGGCCACTTATTTAGGCAGAGCAGTGGGCTGTTCAGTCAGTGAACTAGCTAATCCTACAATATCCTGATAGATATAATTTGAATGTAAAAACCACAGAAATAAAAGCCAACTTAATTTATCTGGAAGCTTAAGTGCTGGAGGCGAGATAACTCTGTGACAAATGCTTGCCCTATAAAAAGTATTTGGGGCACTTAAAAACAGAACAAAACCCCATACGAGCTCCTTCTTTCCTGTTCCATTCTCACAACTCAGCCTTGCTGTCAGTAGTTATTATGCAACATCTATTATTGAATTTAAAAAAAAAACAAAGCAACAAAAAACCCCAAAACCAGCAACAAAACATGCCAAACCTCCAGAAAACCCATATATTCCTACAGGCAGTTGGTAAAATATGTGACTTTTCCCTTTCTATTTAATTTTTAAAGCTCTCTAAGGGTATATCTTCCTAGTGAATTCTGATTGTACCTTCACATTACTTAGTAAAACCAGCTTCTCCTTGTCCCTAAAATTTCCTAGTACTTTCCACTTTTTTTTTTTTCATTTTCCTTTTTTTTTTCCTTTGGTTCTTATTAATTCAATAACTATTCATGGTAGATCACCATGGGACTTCCAATTATTATTTTGTTCTGTATCTGACAGCGGACTAGCAATGCCTCGCCAAACTTTAAGAATGTTTTTGAGTAAGATCTGTTTTAGCAGAAGACAAGGGAACGGCAGCCTCACTTCTATTTTTGTCATGATTCTAATATAGGAAACAGCTTTCAAAGACCTTGCCAGTTGCCCTGAATGTCTGTTTGAAAGTGCTAAACAACAGTCAATCCCAACTGTTCCAGATTTATTTATAACTGACTTCTTAGTTATCAATCAGGGCTGCAGCATCGTACGTCCTGCGTTCCTGTCTTTGAGGTTCCCTTACAGTCATGTTAAGCTCAGTAGGTCAAATGTACTTGACTTACTGTGATCCCCTATGGGCAATATCTGCAGAGACGACAGAATGTTATTACTGGGAATCTAAGAGTAAAGTTTGAATGTGTATATTTTTTTCACAGTTTTTGGATCTATCTTATATTTACAAAGTGTACTTCTTTTCCAAAATTGTTATGGAATAATTGACAGAAGTGCCACAATAAAATGTGTCCACTGCTGTTTTTCATTAGAAGCTCCTTTAGAACTAAAATTAAGTCGTCTTTATTATTTTCTGTACTTTTTTATTTTAAGCTGTTTGGATGCATGATCAGACATTTCTTTAAAAAAGACAGTGAAATAAAAAGAGGTATTTGAAATTGCGCTTGGTGCAAAATTCAGTGACGTGACTTATTCAGCTGTCAAATACTCATTAATTCAAATTTTTTCTCCATTCCTTTTTCTAGATATCTTCCGTGTTGCATTACTAGTCTGTAAATTCTCTGACGCTTCGAGTATCATTCTTTCAAATAAAAAATATGTCCAAAAAAAAAGACAAATTATAGAGGAGAGAATGAGCTAGTTTTTGCACACCAGCAACCTCAAAGGAAAGCAAGAAAAATGGGTTGTTGGGCTGCAGTGGGGATGATGTGGAGGGGCTGACTGTTGTTCACACATTCATAAAGCCTGACCTCCAAGGCTTCTCCCACCTACGTGAATGTGCCCCACTGGTATTAAAATTGAACCCTGCTCTTTTCTGAAAACACACCATCACCTCCAGACAGGCTTTAGTGTCCTTTTGGTGGTCAGCCTTTTTCATTACTCCTTCGTGTCTGCAGGGTCAGACCAGTGGGCAATGTCTGGACTTAGAACAAGGTTCAACTTTTTTTTTTTTTTTGTTCATTTGCTTTGATAAGCATTCAGTTAGAGGTTTGCAGCAGACAACATCAGTAGTTGATGCTATGGGTCATCATTGTCAGCCAAGTTTTACACTGGAGCTGTTTTACATCATGGTTTTCTTTCTTTCTAGTTACATGCAGGTAATGGCCTGAGTGTATTAATACAGACTTCCAGTATCTACTTAGAATTTACTGAATTTGTGGAATGTTTACTATGTTGGTGCAATGTATGAATTCCCTGTCGTCGCACTGTATTAGGAGCACTTTGTTGATATTCTTAGGGCTGGGAACAAAAGGCTGCAGGACCTGTTAGCCATGGCTAATCTGATCAAGCATGAAATCTGCAAGATTAAAATAAAATGTTGCTTACAGTCTAATGACCCCCCGAGTCCCACCACCCCAAGGGCTTTATTTGGTTAGTTTAGTGAGCAAGCCAGGCCATAGATGGGTAGTCAGTTCTAGCAAGCCTTATTAGCTAACTTATTAGTTGGTATGGTTGATTAGCTTAGATGCAGTGACATGTAAGCTGTTTTCAGGACTAGCTGGAGTCCAGAAACATTCCTGCAGCATTGAGCTTGAACAAAGGTTTTCCTGGATTTGGCATCCTGAGCAGGATGTTGTCACCACAGGTCTGCTTAGGCACATGACCACAGATTTAATCTGTGTTGGACCTGACGGACATAAGCAGTTGTGTGTGAAATATGCTGAACTGCAATCTCCAGCATGGCGAGTTAGACAAGGCTTAGTTCAGTGCAGTGCCAGCATTTTGGATCCTGGGGGACTGCAGATCAACATGAATGTGTCTGCACCATATTCCTCAAGCACATCTCTACTACCTATACTATCTACGTTTCCCTGTTTTCCCAGATATTCTATGTTTTTGTTACCCCTACTGAATCTTGCCTGACATCACAGAATACACTGGGAATACATGTTTGGGAGAGCGACCTGGCTTGGTTGATAGTTGAGTTTTGGTTATGATAACAACGAAACCAAAATCAACTGATAGATCAAACAGCCTTTGCAGGATGTGTTGGAACTGGTAGCACCCAGCTGTTTTGTCACTGAAAGTGTGTATTATGCACTTGGGCAAGAGACGCTAATAACAGCTGACAATGTGTATAAGAGGTTGCTATTTCTAGTTCTGAGCATCTGCATTATTGCCTTAGCCTTCTTTTTTTTTTTTACTCTTCCTATGCATTGTAAAGCTTAGCACCGTGTTTTTATGTTGGTGTCATCCACGAGGTGATTTTAATGCTTTGCTTCTGAATAAGACCAATTCGTTTCTATTGCCTGAAAGTCTTTGGATTACTTCCTTTGGCATCTGTTTGGATATGTTAGTAACGGAACTGGCAAAATTATAAATGCCATGTGTTGGTCTTGGGTAGGCAGATGCCCAGTTCATAATGTGTTTACTTGGCTTTCACCACAGAGTTTTGGGAATTAAATGTGGTTTGTGGCTTAGTATTTTTGAGTACCTGTGAGGCATTGAGAAATAATGAAATATGTGCTAAAGAATGTTATCAAATGTAGTTGCACATCACCATGACAGAGTCTGTTTCACTCTGGTAAAATCCAGATAATTAATTTTTTTATTGAAATAGAAATTGATGGGCTTTTTACTTTTTTGCTAGTCTGCTGACTTAAGAAATACTTATGCTAACCACACTCATTTTTTTCTTTTATTAAACAGATGGTGCCAACTGTTTCAAAAACATTCTTTTAGGATTTTTTAACGGATTGCTAGCTTTAAAAGAACTTTTTAAAGTCCTTACTGACTTTTCTTTGTGATAACTGTGACTTTCCTAGCTATCACTACAAACTGCACAACGTATTTTAGAATGACAAAAATTATGCAAAAGTGATTCTCTGTTCCTTTCCATTTAGGAGGACTGATCTTTGGATAAAGAGATTTAGAGTGAGAAAATGAAGCATGGCAAAGTTTTGAGATAGGATAGGTTTGTAACAGGACGAACGCTTTGGCTTTACAGTTGATTCAGATGTGTGGTGCAGCAGTCTGATCCTCTCGTGTTTTTCCTGTTCTTCAGTTAGGTATTCTGTTATTTGATAAAAATAAGCACACTTGTCCCTAGTGCTCCACAGGGGACACTTAGGGTGAACAGGATCTTGTGAGGAAGAAAGAGTTATGCAACGTTGCACAAAGTAACACTGTGAAGTGATTCTCATGCTTTAATTTAAAACGACAGGTGGGACAGACTGTATGGGCCTTCCTGATGAGCTCTAAGGTAATGTTAGATGGGAACACCATTCCTGGTAGTCTTCTGACTAATCTTGATTTCATGGATGAGGACCCATTTGCATGGCCACTGCAGTGGCAATGGTAGCTTCTGCCAGAGAAGCAAGAATGAATGGTTGCAAGGTGAAAGAGTG